CCCAAAAGTGACAAAACGCTCCAACAAATTTTACGCACATTCGAACTTCCCAACACTTCCCATTCAAAAAAATAAAAAGATAAAATCTCAATCAAATTCCTCAAATTCCATTTTTCTCCAAAGGGCTTGAGATCTCAGACTGAGGACTGGTCTTGGCTGCAATCGACAATGGAGGAAGAAGACAAACAGCCACTGAAGGAAGAGAAAAGTCTTCTACAAGAAGAAAAAGAGGAAGCAAAAAAAGCAGAAGCAGCTGAAGCACAAGCATCACCGGCAAAAAGTGGAGGATGGGGAGGCTGGGGATTTTCTTCTGTTTTCTCAGATCTTCAGAAAGCCGCCGAAGAGATCTCTCGCAATGTAAGCGTCTCTAGCATTTAACAAGTGTATGTGAATCTCCATTTTTATTATAAACTTGCCTGATTTTTTTTTTTCTTTCTATTTTTAGGAATTTAGAAATTAGGGTTTCTAAGTTTGGGAAAGGTTCGTTATTGGATCTAATTTTGGTGTTTTTAGATGTATCCGATGTTAATTAACTCTTCAGACTGCGAATCTTAATGTAGGTTTAATTGGGTAATTATAAAATATGCAAAGATTTGTCTATTTAATCCAAATTGAAAAGTTTAGGTTTGCTGCATTTTTTAATTAAATGTGTGAAATGGTTATTTGTGGAAGCAGGCGACTGCAGTTGCTCAGACTGCAGCAAAGAGCATTGCCGACATGCAAAACCCTGCAGAGGACTCGGAAGAATCTTCCAAGGAGGAGGAAGGGGATACTGAAAAGGAAAGCCAGGATGGGACGGAAAGCCAAGATGAGCATGAAAAGCAACGAAAGGCTGCTCTGGAAAAATTGGAAAAAGCTAGTGAAGAGTCGTTTCTCGGTCAGGCAAGTCGTAAATTTTTAAGCAGTTGAACTTTCCTTTTATATATTTGCAATTTTTGCGCTCATAATATTGCATATACTTCTATTCATCTCTCTCAATTTGATATAGGACACTTTAACATTACATTACTTTCTGTTCAACTGGACTGGAGCTGTTTGTTTCTTGACTTCTGTAACTATCCTCTGAAGCTGATACCTTTTATTTATATTTCACTAAGCGTGCCATTGCTATAAAATTTTCAGGGTTTGAAGGTACTTGATAGTTCTGTGGAGAATTTTGCTTCAGGAGCGTGGCAAGCATTAGGAAGTGCATTGAAAGGCGGTACTGATCTAGTCCACAAGTATGTTCCACTGCAGTTGAATGTTTTACTATATTTTACATTATGTTAGAGGGAAACAAGAGTAGTTCTTGCATTGCATGTGGGGACAGTTTTTTGGGGTTATTTTCTGGATTAAAATTAGTAATCATCAGATGCTAACTGGTCATTACTTTCTCTTGTTTCCCAGGAGCTGTGTACATATTTTTTTTTCAGTTCAAGGATTGTAGAATGTTGTAAAGATGATCTAGTACTGCATGATGTAGTAAATATGGTTTCATAAGTTCAAAATAGGTGCAGTAATACAGTTGTATTGTGTTCTATTGACTGTGGTCAAGTTTGACTTTACCAACTTCTCTAATTACTTTCTACTAGCATTGTATTTTGTTATTGAACTAAGTTTTGTTGTTCTCTAGGCTTGAGAATTCAGCTGTGAATCTTGCGGGATCCATCCAGCAAGGCGGTTTGCCTACAGCTGCTGGTTCTGCTGCGCCATCCTTATTAGAGGTTTGTATTCTCCTGTTACATGGCTTGTTAAGTTATGTTGACTTCATTGCTTATATCTTGGTTTCATGTTACAGACTGGAAAGGCTTTTACCTCAAAGGGAATGCAAGTGCTTGAGCTTGTAGGCAAGGAAACTTTGGATCTACTGATCACAGAGACTGGTATAGAAGTTGAGAAGAATTCTAAACCCTCTGAACAGGAAGCCGAAGAGGATCAGTTATACGAGGAAGTAGGATTTGATCGATGCTTCTACATATATGGAGGTCCAGAACAGTTGGAGGTCATTTTCTTAATCCGGGAGGTTAAGTCTTGTTATCATAAGGAATAAATTTATTGAAGCTGTGTATTGTAATTCTGTCAGGAATTGGAGGCATTGTCCAGCCATTATGCACTATTATTTAACAGGAGAAAAGGAAAATTATCATCAGAACAGAAATCTACTTATGATGGAAAGCTTAAACAGGTGCAGCAGATTTTTAGTTTGGATATTGAATTGGATGGAAGTGGTGCAGAGTCGGATAAAGGCAAAAAGAAAGAGACTGGAGATGATGGAAATAGCGATGAGATGAAGAGTTTGCATGATTCAAGTGTCAGCAAGGCTGCTGATATGGCGGCTGGGTATTTTACCTTGTTCAATTTCTATTTTTATGTCTTTTCCTTTTTTTTTTCTTTTTTTATAAAGATTTTTCGAATATCATTAGTAGTTTTGCTTTCATGCATGGCTGTTTTAGGTCTATTGCTTCTTTTTGGACTTTGATCTGATTTTGACACATTCACTAGAGCCAGAATTAGATTACAATAACTGTAAAACTAGCTGTTCTTGCATCTGTCAGAGTTACGTTAGATAGATTTTCACTGTGTCACTGTTGATGATGCATCCTTTCTATACCCATCGTTCTTGTTAATGTGAATTGATTGGAGATCATACAATCCTACTAGATGATTTCAAAATGAATTTCTTTATAATCATTTGCTAAAAGAGATTGAGTTTATGGGTCAGTTTGGTACTTGACATGCGTGACATTCTCAAAAAATGTTAGTCTTTAAAAGGTGGAACTGGTGAAAGGCGAGTCCTATAATAAGTTATTGCAGGGTGATGATATGTCCAGTGTCTAAACTGATTGCAATTTGATCAGCCTCCTCATTATACACATTTTATTTTACAATTTGCTCCTCTTAATTATGTGACCTTGTCTGAAACATAGGAGTAGAAACATGCCTGGTCTTTTGTGCTTAACTTTATTTTTATACATATCATGCCTTAACTACTATTACTTTTGGAATTTTCTACGTACATTCTCCTTTTCCACATCCCTCTAAGAATCTTCTGTATTTATCAGGTTCACAAGTGCCTTAGCTGGACAAGCTGTTAATGATATAATTCAAAGAACCACTGGCCGATTAGAGAGTCTTCACTCAGAGGGGGTTCATGTATGGAGTTATCTGGGATAACTGTATTGTATTCTCTTGGCTCTGCTTTTGTTGACATGGGTTTAATAGTTTTGATGTAATCATATGTCTTTGCAGAGACTCTCGGAAATGTGCTGCTCTGCAGTGTCTCAACTGTTGATGCTTGGTAAATCCATCATATCTAGTGCAAACAACACTCAGGTAGAAGATATGGATGCTGATGTCAAGAATATTGATTGGCCTGAAGATTCTGTTGAAAAAGCAAAGATGATCAGATCAAAAGCGCAAGCAATGACTGGATATGTGGAGGCAGTGTCCAGCAGTTTCATCACAGGTTGATATCCTGGAGCTCTGTTTCTTTGTGGTCATAAATGACTACTTTTTCCTAGTTGCAATATGCCGTTACAGTTCACCCTGTTGTGCTCAAAGGAAAAATACTCAGAGATTACTCGGTACCTCAACATGAGAGTGTCTAGCTATTAGCTGACCACGGTTGGAAAGATAATCCGCATCCGCATGCATGCAGCAATCTTTTGACCCGAATATAGCCATTGTATAAGCCATGAAGTCAATGTATATTATCTATAGGGAGCCTAATTCCTAAGGTCCCCAACTCAGAAAGCCTTGTGTCTTCTTTGTGTGCTTTTAGACTGAGGTCTTGATGATTTTCATTTCCAAGTTCATATCTGATATGCAAGATATGTATTGTAGCAGATATTTTTGTTGACAGTTTGAGTCTTTACGAACTTGACAGGCATATCTGATGTTGCCGAAGCTTATCTAGCAGCCATAAAAGGTGCTCCTGCGGAATCCCATGACGTGCTTCCACAGACATCAATCCAAGAAAAAGCCAGTTCCTTCTCTAAACATCTCCGTGATGACCAGAACACAGCTTTGGGCAAAATCCAGGACGGGCTTCACTACTTGTCATATGTGGTTGTTTCAAGCTCTATGCCCACTGCATGAGAGAACTCAGATCTCTGATCTTTCACAAGCTCTATTTGTTAAGCTTTGTAAATAGTGGTTTTTCAAGTGGGTTTGAGTTCTCTTATCATTTCAAGTGTTATACGGAATTGAAGGAAAATTCTTGTTAGAACTCTTAAACAGTCAGCAATCTGTAACAATGGGGGAGGTAGAGATTATGTATTGCGTTAATTAAGGTTAAGTTGATGGATCCTATTCACAGCTATTCTTGCTGCCTTGGTTTCATTAGTAATTTTGGATGGTCTAGTTGGCAAGAGTGCGATATTACCACTTACCAGGCTTTTGAAGTGTACTTATTTTCAAATGCCAACTTGAAACAACGAAGTAGTATTGTACACAAGCCCTAATCAGCACGTGAATCATAAATAGAGATTTGAACTCATTCAACACAGAAAACAAAAAGAGGGATTTGCTCAACTCTGCAGCCTTTGAGCAAATTCCTTGCTCAGTTCTGATGGACGGGCGCTTTGCTCGCTTCTAATGGACAGTCGCTGAAGTGCCCGTGGGTGACTTCCAGCTGTTGGTATAATGTGTTGCAAATACTGACATGAGCGACAGCTCCAAACACTCTGCATGACTTTTAGCAGAATAATCTTTCAATTCTTAGCTAATCTTTTTTGCAATAATCCTTGATAGGGTTTTTAATAGGAATGGTCCCTGAACTTGTGCCCGATTTGCATGTTGATAATTGAATTCGGAAAATGGCCGCCATTCCCACCATGGGCGTTCTATGAGCGCGTTGGAAGGTTGTGGCCTAGTCCTCCCTCACCTAATAAAGACACTACAAAAGCAGCAGATGACCCTAAATGCGTGCCACTAAAGAAAACAACCACGGTATACTTGTCGGTCTATCCTGCAGTGATACCTTCCAAATTCTCTACTGCTTAGTTTGCTTACCATATTGTCTTCATTTATCAAACCAACATTTTCTATTCCGAAACTGTCTACATTCATTGTACAGAAGAGAAAATTATGCACAGAAAAATCCAAAGTACATATAAACCAACGCCACTTTCTTCCACCAGAAAACCACTTCCATTAAATTTTACAATCTATCTGTTCTTGAATCTTAACCAATGGGAGAAATTGATCCAGCCTTCATCCAAGCCACAGACCAGAGGCCCAAGCTCAAACCCACAAACCCAGTTGCTGATGAAATCCCCATAATTGACCTCTCAGTTTTAAGCAGCCCTGATGAGACCAGAAAAGTGGTATCAGAGATAGGCCATGCATGCAAAAACTGGGGATTTTTCCAAGTTATAAATCATGGGGTGCCATTGGAACTGGCCAGGAAGATTGAGGAGGTGGCTAAGACATTCTTTGAACTACCAGCAGAAGAAAAGAAGAAGGTGAAGAGAGACATGGTGAATGCACTGGGGTACCATGATGGTGAGAACACTAAAAATGTTAGAGATTGGAAGGAAGTCTTTGATTTCATGGTGGAAGATGAGACTTTGGTCCCAGCATCACCTGAGCCTGATGATAAGGAGTTGAGGAAATTGACTAATCAGTGGCCTCAGTACCCTCCTGAGTTCAGGTGTTTTATATTTGCTTATTTGAATTGTTCATTTTTAGTTTATCTTTGCTTTGTAATAGGTTTGCATAGAGTTGGCTGATTCTGGATTGCTTTAGTTGAATTGAGAACAATATTGAACTGAAAAAAATTAACATTTCTGCAAAAACTTGAACAAACTTGGACTGCTTTAGCTGATTGTGCAAAATTAAATTGAAATTGATTCTGGATTGCTTCTTTGATTTTTTCCCTTCTTAAATAAGCGGTGTTCTTTTATAACTTGATTCATCAGAAAATTTGCCAACTCTTAGAAGGTTTACAAGTTTGGAGACATGATTGGATACAAGAAAACTGATTTGACTTAGAAATCATTATGATCTAGTATAGGCTTTTAGTCCGCGAGATTTGGGGGCCAAAATTGTTCAGGGAAATTGGGTTTGGATCCCCTCAGAAGCAAAACTGGTTCTGCATAAATTCTCACTTGGAAATAGGACCTTGTATTCCACTAGGATAATATTGTATAATGCTAGCCTTTTAGACTTTAGTTGAACTGAGAGCAAACTTGAACTGTAAAAAAGAATATTTCTGCAAAAGTTCTGCCCCTTCAAATTTCCCCCTTCTTAATTCACCACAAGAACTGCTGTTTTCATATGTGGTTCATTAGACAGGTTACTCTCAGAAGTTTTACAAGTTCGGATTCAAACAGATTAAACGGATTTGCCATGAGTGCGGATGTAATACAGGCTTAACTCCACCAGGTTTACAAAAACTTCAGTGTAATTGAGTTTAAATCCCCTCAGAAGCACATGTTGGTTAAGATTCAAATAAAAGCAAAAACTTATTAGCTACATTTTGCTTAAATTCTCACTCCACCAGACTAATATCCCATGACGCTAACGTTTTGCCTTTACATTGGCATGTGGTCTATGTACTCTAATTGGCTGCCTTGAGTAGAGAGGTCTGCCAGGAGTATGCTCGAGCGGTGGAAAAACTGGCTTACAAGTTGTTAGGACTAATTGCTTTGAGCTTAGACCAGCCAGAAAACAGGTTCAATGACTACTTCAAAGACCAGCAAACGAGCATGATCAGATTCAATCACTATCCTCCATGCCCTTTTCCTCACCTAGCTCTAGGCGTTGGGCGCCACAAGGATGCTGGTGCCTTAACCGTCCTGGCCCAAGATGATGTTGGAGGACTAGAAGTTAAGAGTAAATCTGATGGAGAATGGATTCCAGTCACACCCACCCCAAATGCCTACATCATCAATGTTGGTGACATTGTTCAGGTACTACTCATAAACTGTGAAATGAAATTTCCCCATTATGTCTTATGAACGACATTAATGCATTCATAATTATGAATGAGATTGTAATTGCGAGTGACCTTGTGCACAACACCAATAAATTTTTTAGACACTTGCATGAGATGTACATTCACTTTGTAAACGGCATTTTTATCTGCAGGTTTGGAGCAATGACAAATATGAGAGCGTGGAGCACAGGGTGGTAGTGAATTCTGAGAAAGAAAGGTTTTCAGTTCCATTCTTCTTCTTCCCAGCCCACCATGTGATGGTGAAGCCCTTGGAGGAGCTACTGAGTGATGTAAACCCTGCCAAATACAGGGAATACAACTGGGGAAAGTTTTATGCTACAAGAAACCGCAGTGATTTCAAGAAACAAGAGGTGGAGAACATCCAAATTCATCATTTCAGGTTACCAGAGTAGATAGGATATATCGGTGAAGTGAAATGTTATCCATTGCTAACAACATAAAGTCCTTTTAGCTTCTTGTGAATATTGTGCTATGTAATCAGGCCAGAGGCTTTCAAAACTTGCTTTTATAACAACATTAAGTCCTTTTAGCTTCTTATGTCTTTATGTTTTATGATTGTTTTTCAGGCAGTTTCTGAGTTTAAATTTATCACCAGTTACTCAGTCTAAGCAAGACATATTTATCAATGTGTACAGTTTTAAAAAATTTAATCATCAGCATGAAGTTCATACTAATCCTTAAAGCCAAAAGAAGAAAAAAAAATTGATGCAAAACTATGAATAAGGATTATCCAGAACGTTGCAGCTAATGGAGTGCAGCAGAGCCCAAAAAAGAAAACAGAACTGGAAAAAAAGTACAACCCTTATAATAAACAACTATTTAAGCAAGGGGCTTGTAGCTCAAGTGGTTAAGAGTATTTACCCATGCACCGAGGCCCTAAGATTGATTCCCCCTTCCCCAATATCACTTGTATAAAAAAACAACTATTTAAGCAAATTAGCATTCTTCTCAAAAGAAAAAAAAGGTAAGAAATGATGGAATTAATTAAGACATAGGCAAACATAACAAAACAGTACAAGACCTCTTCGTTAAGCCCAAGATTCTTCAATATTGTTTGTTGTAATGGTAGTGACAAGCTGCTTCCATTACTTACAGGGATAATATTCTTCCTGTTGCAGCTGAACCAGGGCAATTAAATTAATTTAATTCTAGCAGCCCCACCCATCAATGTTTAATTTTTTTTTTTTTTTAAAAAAAAAAAGAAGAAGAAGAGAATTTGGATTTTGTGGTGACATTTTCTGCTTTGGTTTTTTCTTCTTTCTTTAGAAGGGTGAGTATTGCACTGAGTAAACTGATACGATCATACTTATTTAGAACTAATACCGAAAAGAAATATTGGTGTCAAGTCAGACTTTGGTTCCCAATATGTTGCTGTACGTCTGCAATGGCATCATAGCAAAGAAAAAGACAACCATGCAAGCACAAAAGGTCACAACCCTCTACAAAGCAAAACCGTGCAGCACTAGGTAATCTCCACCTAGTAATTTACCCAAACCCTTGTCCAGATTCAATATAAAAGTACAAGCACTTGCATTATAAAATCTACCAGTGTCCTTGTTGCACTTGCATTATAAAAGCTACCAGCGTCCTTGTTGCTTCAAAGTGGCTTTTCTAGCAAAACAAATCATTTGTTAAACCAAGATCACCAGCCATGGGAGAGGTTGATCCAGCTTTCATCCAAGATCCTGATCACAGGCCTAAACTCTCCATCACCGAAGTCGAAGGCATACCCTTGATTGACCTGACTCCGATTATCTCCCCAGACTCCATTTCCGACCCTAAAGCTGTTGAAGCGGTTGTTAGAGAAATAGGCAATGCATGCAGGGACTGGGGGTTCTTCCAAGTGATCAATCATGGAGTAGTATTGGATAAGCTCCGAAAGATTGAGACTGCTGCTAGGAAATTCTTTGCTCTGCCTTTGGAGGAAAAGAGGAAGATTAGGAGGGATGAAAAAAGCGTGTTAGGTTACTATGACAGTGAACGTACCAAGAATGTCAGAGACTGGAAGGAGGTGTTTGATTTCACAGTGGAGGAGCCTACTCTAGTCCCAGCTTCTCCTGACCCTGAGGACAAGGAAGAGACAGAGTGGTATAACCAATGGCCTGAGCACCCTCCGGAACTAAGGTAACTAAATGATCACCAAAGGTAGTATAAGTACTTATGTTTTAGATAATTGTAATAGGAAAGGGAAAATTTGATCACCTATGATAATACCTTGTGAATTATAATGTGTATCAAACAAAAAACACTGGCTCTCATCACTTAGTAACTTATTCGGTTGTGCCGTAAGGACCCCATGCTTTTGAGCTTCCTTTATATGATAATATACACTGCCTTGACCAGGGAGGTCTGTGAAGAATATGCTCGAGAAGTCGAAAAGCTAGCTCTGAAGTTGATGGGACTTATTGCCTTAAGCCTAGGCTTGCCAGAAAACAGGTTCAGCAGCTACTTCAAAGACCAAACAACTTCTGTCAGACTCAATCACTATCCAGTTTGTCCTTCCCCTCAGCTAGCTCTTGGTGTTGGTCGTCACAAGGATGGTGGTGCTTTAACCGTGCTAGCTCAAGATGACATTGGAGGATTGGAAGTGAGGAGAAAAACAGATGGAGCGTGGATTCGGGTTAAGCCCACCCCAAATGCCTATATCATCAATGTTGGTGACAGTATCCAGGTTCATCACTTCAAACTCTATATTAACTTGTTGTGCTCAAAACACTTTGAAGTTTGTCACTTTTGAAGATATGCTAATTAGTCTATTCCAGCGTTTATTGTTTTTTGCCAGTTTCTCATAACAAATGAACATGTTTATGCAGGTTTGGACCAATGAAAAATATCAGAGTGTGGAACATAGGGTGATGGTGAACTCAGAGAAGGAAAGGTTTTCTATCCCTTACCGCCTCAACCCATCCCACTACACCATAATCAAGCCTTTGGAGGAGCTAATAAATGAACAAAACCTTGCCAAGTATAGGCCCTACAGCTGGGGCAAGTTTATGACTAACAGAAAGCTCAGTAATTTCAAGAAACTCAATGTTGAAAACATCCAAATTCATCATTTCAGGGTATCGGAATAAATGGATTAGAAGGACTGTTTCTGTATGACCAATCGATAGTAATGTTATTTCTGCTTCCTGTGCTATCAACTCAGAAAACAATGCCATGCTGTATAGAGAAGGAAGTAACTTGTTAGGAACTTCTGAAACATGGTATGCTTGAGTTGTTATCTAGCTACAATTTGAGGAAAGTTGCTGCAGTTTTTATGAGAAGATACGATAGATGAGCAAGTGGAGCAATTGATAAGAAGACTCAAAGATCTTTGTGAAAACCAAAGTTAAGGAACTAGGCCAAGATTAAGGAATATATTTGAAAATGATGGGTACTTATTTGAAATGATAAAAGCTTGGAGTAAAGAAGCAAGTGGAGAGTGGTGTGGAGAAATTCAAGAGTGATACCCGACAATGAGAAGAAGGAAAGTATGGAAATGCATGACAAAGTGTTCAAGTGGAAGAAAGTTTTGAAGAATTTAGATAAGGAGTCATCATCACAATGAATTAATTAAAGGAAGCAACTTGGCAATTGGTTTGATGGCAAGTGGAAGACATATTAAAATCATGAATATTGCTCCCATCCTCCTATAAATAGATGGAGCTACGGCATTGTAAAACTACACCAAGCTCCACAATCTTGAGCTTTTTCTCTTTTCCCTCCATATTTCTAAGTCTTAAATTCTGTTTTTAGTTTTATTTTATTATGGGGAACTAACTCCCTAGCTAGGGCTAGGGAGGAAACTTTTAATATAAGTGTGTAATTTTTATTAGTTTGATCCAAACTTAAGCTTTAATGTGAATTTGTAGTTTTTGTTCAAATGGAATTTGTAGTTTTCTTTTTAATTAATTGATGAATGTTTGATAATCTATTTCATGGGTTCAATCATGTTTTTCCCATAGTGTAGTAAAAACTTTCATGCTTTTAAAAGAGAAGAGAATTACTAAAGATTAATAGAATTTTGATGAAGATTATTTTTTTGATAGTTTGTTGCCAATTGTACAAGTTATGCTTAGAATACTTCTAAAGGAAATTAAAAAGAGCTTTAATTATTTTGAACAACTACAATGGAAAATATTTTGTGGATCAAATTATTAAGAGTTGCATGCTTATGTTAAAAGTGGAAACCCAATGCCTTAGTGTTTTAATCAATTAAATTTTCTCCAAATCAAATCTTGCATAATTCTACCTCTCAATCACACTTGTTCTTTTTCATCTCTGTTATTTTCTTTACACTGCTCTCTGTGGATACGACACTCGGACTTCCGAGCTACACTACTATACGATACTATCTCCTTTGATTTTTGTAAAAGTGGTACGAACAAACTACAAACTTGAACTGCAAAAATAGCGTCTGAAAAAATTCTGCCTTTTTGATATTTTCCCTTCTTAAAAGTTTCATAAGTTTGGACATGATTGGATTAAAGAAAACTTGTTTGAAGTTCAAGTTTGATGGCCAAAACGGTTCAGGGCAATCGGGTTTGAATCCCCTCAGAAACTAATACTGGTTCTGCATAAGTTATCACTTGAAATATAGGACCCTGCATTCAGTTAGGCCTAACATTCTTCCTGCTGAAATTGAACCTGAACTTTTCTAGCATCCCCCACCCATCAATGATTAATTTGAAAAAGGAAAAAAAAAAGAAAAAAGAAATTTGGATGAGGAGGTATCAATTTGATTGTGATGTGACATTGTCTGCTCTGGCTTTTCCTTCTTTTTCTTTATTTTGTAGTGTCAAGTCAGACTTTGGTTCCACATATGTGGCTCTACGTCTGCAATGGCATCAAATAAAATCAAAAGATGACTAAGCAAGCACAAACATCACAGCCTTCCAAACCTGTCCACGCATCCAAGATAAAAGTTGAACCGCTCACATTATAAAACCTAACAATCAATAGCCTTGTTGCTTCAAAGTGGCTTTTCTAGCAAAACAAATCATTTGTTAAACCAAGATCACCAGCCATGGGAGAGGTTGATCCAGCTTTCATCCAAGACCCTGATCACAGGCCTAAACTCTTCATCATCGAAGGCGAAGGCATACCCTTGATTGACCTGTCTCCAATAATCTCCCCAGACTCCATTACTGATCCCAAAGCCATTGAAGGTGTTGTTAGAGAAATAGGCAGTGCATGCAGGGACTGGGGGTTCTTCCAAGTGATCAATCATGGGGTTCAATTAGATAAGCTCCGAAATATTGAGACTGCTGCTAGGAAGTTCTTTGCTCTGCCCTTGGAGGAGAAGAGGAAGATTAGAAGGGATGAAAAAAGCGTGTTGGGTTACTTTGACTGTGAGCGTACCAAGAATGTCAGAGACTGGAAGGAGGTGTTTGATTTCACAGTGGAGGAGCCTACTCTAGTCCCGGCTTCGCCTGACCCTGAGGACAAGGAAGAGACAGAGTGGTATAACCAATGGCCTGAGCACCCTCCGGAACTAAGGTAACTAAATGATCACCAAAGGTAGTATAAGTATATATGTTTTAGCTAATTGTAATAGGAAAGGGAAATCTTGATCACCTATGATCATACCTTGTGAATTATAATGTGTATCAAACAAAAAACACTAGCTCTCATCACTTAGTAACTTATTCGGTTGTGCCGTAAGGACCCCATGCTTTTGAGCTTCCTTTATATGATAATATACACTGCCTTGACCAGGGAGGTCTGTGAAGAATATGCTCGAGAAGTCGAAAAGCTAGCTCTGAAGTTGATGGGACTTATTGCCTTAAGCCTAGGCTTGCCAGAAAACAGGTTCAGCAGCTACTTCAAAGACCAAACAACTTCTGTCAGACTCAATCACTATCCAGTTTGTCCTTCCCCTCAGCTAGCTCTTGGTGTTGGTCGTCACAAGGATGGTGGTGCTTTAACCGTGCTAGCTCAAGATGACGTTGGAGGATTGGAAGTGAGGAGAAAAACAGATGGAGCGTGGATTCGGGTTAAGCCCACCCCAAATGCCTATATCATCAATGTTGGTGACTGTATCCAGGTTCATCACTTCAAACTTTATATTAACTCCTTGTGCTCAAAACACTTTGAAGTTTGTCGCTTTTGAAGATATGCTAATTAGTCTATTCCGGCGTTTATTGTTTTTTGCCAGTTTCTCATAACAAATGAACATGTTTATGCAGGTTTGGACCAATGAAAAATATCAGAGTGTGGAACATAGGGTGATGGTGAACTCAGAGAAGGAAAGGTTTTCTATCCCTTACCGCCTCAACCCATCCCACTACACCATAATCAAGCCTTTGGAGGAGCTAATAAATGAACAAAACCTTGCCAAGTATAGGCCCTACAGCTGGGGCAAGTTTATGACTAACAGAAAGCTCAGTAATTTCAAGAAACTCAATGTTGAAAACATCCAAATTCGTCATTTCAAGGTATCGGAATAAATGGATTAGAAGGACTGTTTCTGTATGACCAATCGATAGTAATGTTATTTCTGCTTCCTGTGCTATCAACTCAGAAAATAATGCCATGCTGTATAGAGAAGGAAGTAACTTGTTAGGAACTTCTGAAACATGGCGTGGTTAATGTGGCAATAAGATCTGTAATATAATTATCTACAAGCACATGTTCTGCTTCAAAAACTAAGAACGTCTCCTTATAAAGAAAGATTTGCGTAAAGTTGGCCAATTTTTGGTTGCTATAGTTGAACTA